AGTTCCTCTGGGTTCATTTTGGTTTGTCATGAGTAGTCCTTGAAATCCTGAGTGCTTTAATGGACAAGAAATGCTGTTCTCTCCCAGTTCTGCTCCTGATTCTCTCCCTTCCCACAGATCAAGTGCAGATCTATGGATTTATAGGAGTGAATGAGACTACACTTGTGCTTGGACATAGGCTTTAGCCTGTGCTAATCATTACAAATTTGCTAAGAGGTTTTAACCTATGATTAATATTGGCAGTGCTGGCAGTATCCCTGCAACTAGGAGTGGTGAGGGGGCAAAAGCACATGGAGAAGTGACTTCACAACAGAACTTCAAACAAGACTGAGGGCAACGCACAGGAAATTTGGTAAGAAGAAAAGATAAGTTACATTTTAGAATGGAAACCCAACACTCCAGCATGCATTCCTCACACCCAGTGTACACATGCAAGCTAGAAGCTTGGTCTAACCCATCTTCAGATCTTTGGTAGAAGTTGAAGATTTGCTTTTGCTCTTTCTTTTCAATTCAGTGTTTGTTATGAGCAGCATTGCTAAGAAGAAGAATGAAAAAAGAAAAAGCACATGTAAGAAGATATATCACAGAAAAAAACCCACCCCAAAACCAAGCATCAAAAGATGCAGTCACTTTCCTTTTAACAGTGAAGACTATTTGGAGATGAATACCAAAGAAAGCCAAATTCTACAGCATTAATGCTCCTTCACCAAACAGTAAGTGTTATGTTTCTGGAAAGCCAAGCTGCTGTTATGACAAGGCTATCAATCAAAGGTAAGGATCCATCTAACATTGTATAGATATCAATGATGTAGGCATCTTGACTGCAGGTGTTCACATCTGAATAAGTCATTCCAGGCTTCCTTTGATGGAAGGCAAAATAGGCATGTCTAGGCCATGATTCATTCCATCTAAAGGAGGTCTAAAAGGGGCCATATGAATCATGTCCTATCAGTGCCCAATGCCTTCCAGTGACTAAAGAAAACTAGCCTAAATGTAGGTATCTAGACCTTGTAGGCTTCTGACGATACATGAAATGGATGTCAGCTCAAACTGACACTGTTCTGATACAAGGAGTTTCAGAGACAAAATCTGGGGCAAGAAAAACTATCAAATATAAGCAAGAGAGATGTTAGGACAGGTAAATGAAGTCATTAACAGGTTGGTCAGAAAAAGTACATAGATTACAAGGCATTAGAGCTTGTACCATCTGACCGTGCAAAATGAATGTGATGGATATTCTAAAGAGCAGTGTTAGTAAAAGATGAGAAAGCAGGCATCTTCCTGATTTAATATGTGTCCATACTTCCTTCATACCCGAAGCCATACTTTTACCTTGTTATTGGTGGGTTTGGCAAGAATTAACTCAAGTCTGAATTTAATCTTTTGGATTAAACTTTTGCAGCTCCACTGAATCCACACTGTTTTCAGCTGGTCAAATGCCAGTTACACCACCTCAGATCCAGATGGATGTAAAAAGGCATGATGTCAGGGGAGGTACATCTTTTCCCCCCATGCAAGTCCCTCATGATCAGTTTTTGTCTGGTCATTGAGTCTCTTGGCATTTGTTCTCCAGAAATTGTTCTGCTTCTATGAGGGCAGTGATAGCAGAGAGAAAGGGAGACAAAAGTGAAGCTGCTGATGTGTGTGTTATGTTACATAGAGTCCACCACTGAATTTGGCCTAGATCCTGCAAAAAGAAATGAGCTATTTATTAGGGATCTGTCCTGCAATTTACTGTCTCATAGAAAATAACCTTAGAAGGGTTTTGAAAATCTTAATGCAAACTACTGTATCTCTCTTAAAATGCCTTAAGACAATCTGCACAGATGTCATATAACATACATGTACAAGGGAGCATGAATTTCTCTTAAGAAACATAACCTGTTTTTCCCCAAGAAGTAAATGTACTCACAATAGATTTTCATGCAGAAAGTAATTAGCTCAGTCTTAACCTGTGTTTCTGTTTGGGCTGATGGCTGTCTTTACAGTGTGCTCTTTTCTACAAAACCACTCGAGGAATTCCATATTTCCAGAACAGCTTTTTTTTTATTGAGATCCATTTGTTCAGAATACTCTTTTCTTCATGATTTAGCGACTGCTTTAGATCATTTATTTTTACTGACAGCGAGACTAGTCCATTTGGTTGACTTTCTCAGACATTAACTGCTATAACTCTCATTTAGACTGCCCAGGTTTCCTCACTGACACATGAAATCATCCCATTCACCTCTCCAGGAAAAGGTAAGTCAGACCTGGCATTTCTTGCTCTCAAGGAAAGAAAGAGGAGAAGTGGTAGCACTACCTCACTGGCATTGCTCTTTCTGATTTACAGCTGTCACTGTTGAGCCCAGACTCGGGTAAGATGGGCAAGGCCTTCCGTGTTATCTTCCCAAAGGTTCTTACAAAAATGGTGCTGTATCCTTTAATCAAAAGTCATTTATTTCTTACCGATCCTTTCTCGGATTCATAGCTGTATTGTAGCAAAATACTGGCAAATCTTGGGCATCTTCTAGAGCATTTGTGAATCAATGATTTCAAATGGGTAATATGGAAAAGCCAGTTGTACAGAGAACGGGCGATAAGCAGGCAGTGAGGACAGCCAAGTGGCTGCCTGTGATTGCAGAGGATGGGGTTTGGTTCCACACTGTTTCTCTAGCTGGAAGCCAAAAACTTGGGTTTGATTGTTCAGGGGGAAGAAGAAGAATAGCTTTAAGGAGCAGATGAGGTTTATCAGCCACAGATAAGTGACTGGGTTTGTATTTTGCAATGCCCTAGCTCATGAAGCCACCACAAGCTCTTATTAGAGACAGACCAATGGGCACAGGACAATTAATTAGGAGTATCAGAAAGTTCACCTCATCTCATTTGATGACCGCTGCGATGACCTCACATAGTTTTCTCCAGGGGACAGGCTGAAAATCATGCAGAGTGAATGAAACACTTGAGCTATACTAGGAATTAAGATTGATAGTTTTCAAGGATGCATTTTTCCTTAGTTAAAAGTTCCTGGAAATAATAATTGGCTTTGTGTAGCTCAGAGACTTCTATCAAGAGAATTATTTCTTGCAGATAAGACATCAATTACTCGGTGACTTCTGCCCTTTAGAATCAGTAACTGATAAGCACTATTAGATGTTGAATACGAGGGAGCCTTAAAGGTATGATCTAGATTCTATGCGCCTGAACCAAACTGAGCAATGAAAAATGATCCCAAGAATACACAAAGGTAGAAATAAGATCAGGATTTTACTCTCTGTTTCCTGTCTTTCTGTAATCTTGTCTATGTTTGAGGGACTAGATCTACAGTCTTACATCTTCATGTATTTTCTATACTTCTTTCCTACTCCCCATTTGAGAAGGTTGGACTGGAAATGCAAAGTTGGAACTGCATTTCATGTAAATTAATATAGCTCCATGGAAATCAACAGGGCTACAGTGCTCTAAAACTAAGGATCTTTTCCTGCATCTTATTTATGTATTTTTAGAATGGACATAATATGTTAGTTCATATTAAAGTGTAGAGTTCATCACAGCAGTAATCTCTGCCTCTTTTATGATAAAGGGGCCCACAAGAAATCTGGAGAGGGACTTTTTGCAAGGGCATGTAGTGATAGGACAAGGGGGAATGGCTTTAAACTGAAAGGGGGGACATTTAGATTAGGTATTAGGAAGAAATCCTTTACTGTAAGATTGTGAGACACCTGAACCAGAGAAGGTGTGGATGTCCCTTCCCTGGAAGTGTTCAAGGCCAGGTTGGATGGGGCTTTGAGCAACCTGCTCTAGTGGAAGGTGTCCCTTCCAACCCAAACCATTCTGATGTTATAATTCTATGATTGCTGACCTAACCAGTGAAAGAGGGCTGATGTTAATGCAGCTAAGCCAGCAAGACTGTGTTGGCATCACTCAAGGGTAGATAGCCTTGGGGGTTTTATGTGCTGATAAAAAAACCCAAACAATTTTGTTACTGTTATTGTAGTCATGCAAAACGCATGGATCCACTACAATAAATTGGCACTGTATATATATGGTGAAAAATGTAATCATTTCCAGCACGCAGAGTTCAGCCCTGTCACAAGATTTAATCCAGTCCATTGCTTGCTCCTTGTTTTCCCTGAAGCCTGTCAAACCTGGAGCAGGAGCAAGCACTGTTCCCAGCTCAGAGGTCTGGTACATTTTGTCTTGCTTCCTGCTATCGTCTTTTTTAGGGACCTCACTCTTCCTGACTTCTAACAAGAGACATATATGTTGAGTGACCAAAACAGAGGTGTCCCCTTATTCATGTGGTTCACTATGGAGGTGTGTCAAATTGTTTGATGGGGCTGTATGACAATGCTTCTCCTGTGTTGGGAAAGATAAAAAGCCAACAGAAGACAAAAACTGCTCATTTGCTGGAGGAGGCAGGTACAGGGTCTGTTGTGGCCAAAAGGGTGGACAACATTGGTGCGAAGAAGTGATTCTAAGGCAATGGCTTGCAGGCAGCTTTGTGCCCTAAAACTGGGGCGAAGAGCAAAGTATAAATAGCCTGCAGCACATCACCTACTCAGCAGCTTTGTCTATGGCTCAGCCAAGTCATGGATCTCTGTCTTAAACAGAAAATATTCAGTCTCTTTCAAAGAGACTGAACATAATTTGTTCAATTATCAGGTTTCAAATAAATATGTATTTATTTTTAGGCTTAGGAGTGCCCCGTTTCTTTCCATTGATGTTGCTTCACACTACTAAATGCCTGAAATATTTCTAGCTTAATTATGCAGCGAAACAGTTCTTTGTTGTTTCTGTTTGAGTTTTATGGTCTGGATAACATTTAGTCATACTAAATTCCTGCCATTTGTATTCATTATTTAGTGTTCGTATTACAACAGGAGGCTACGAGAACTGGACAGCTAATACATCAGGTGACTTTGCCAAAAGTGCGAGTACAAAGCCTTGCTTGAGGACTTCTCCAAGTCAATGCCTCTGGGAGCAAAGTCAGGATCCCTGCGTGCATGGTGCATGCTGCACCATTGAGAAGGGAGGGGAAAGCCCCAGCATCAGGGTGGCCACCAGCCTGCTGCCATGTGTGGTGATCCAGCAGCACGAGCTCAGCTGTATGATCTCAAGGGAGAGGAAGAGCAGGTCTGAAACAGCTTAGGGTTTTCTAGCTAAACCATTCATTGAGAAACAGAGTCGGAAATGTTGCTTTGCCCTGCAGGGGCAGCTATGGAGAAGGGTCCTGGAGAAAGCAGCACTGGTAAAGTCATTTGCCTGGCATGAACCTTCAATTGCTGTTAAAAGTCAGAATAAAACTGTAGCTCCCCATGTTCCCAGCTCAGAACTGTGACTGACACTACTCAACGACACTATTTGCTCAGCTCTCCAAACCGGCTCTGCTCACCCCGCCATCCTCCACCCCCCAATGAAGTAACAAGCCACCTACAATCTTTTTCCTGCCCTAGTTTCTTTTAAAAAGCAAGAAATCACAACACCGCCAACCACTTTTGCACAGCAGTCTCGGCCGTCTTTCACTACGCCGGTCCATCCAGCCTGTTATTTCAGCTCCCCCTGAAAAAATACCCACCGCTTTCTTCCGCAGTGCCCACACAAAGTGAGTCAATGTTCTTTTCCATTCATCTCAGAGACACCAGGATGGCGTCCAACGTGTTGCCTTAAAAACAGTAAGAAAGGAAGAAGCATGGGTGAAACCACCAGGTCATTCATACAAATCAGCTCGAATAGCTGCACGACTGCTTCTACAACCCTTAATCTCCTTCATTCACACCCTCTCTACTATCAAACATACCATGTGGGCCTAGCTGGTTAACTATTAACTTACTTTGTGTGTAAGAGGGTACTGGAAAAAAGACCATAGTAGCAACTTTTTTCACCATGTGATCACGCTTTTCTCCTTGAGATGGATTACCCAGTTATGTATGTGGGGTAAGAAGGTTCCCCCCTCCACTCCTATAGAAATCTGGGTGCTGGCTCCAACTCTGCAAAGTTTTCAGAGTACAGGTAAAATGGACTCGGGGAGCAGCATATACGCTTAATTTCTTTGATACTGATCTTGCTTCTTTCTGTGCTGTATTTAGATTCACCCTTGTTATCTCCAAGGCATGTTTCACTTGGCCATGGCGCTCCCAAGTGTGGTCCCCTGCCATAGCCACTGGTCTTTGGTGCCATTAACTGATCTGGGGCAAGGTCTAGTGAGTGAAGAGTGACAAATTACCAACAAATTCAAAAGGCAGCATCAGATATGCTCAAGAGCTTTTCTGGATTTTTCCCTAGATTTCATCTGGAATTAGCATGGAGAGCTTTATTTCCTGTCGCTGAGGTCAGATAGCTTGCCAGGGCCATGAGACTGCCTTGGCCTTTGTCTGACAATGGGATGCTCAGTCAGTGTCCTGTCAACCAGTTACAGGCTGCCCAAACATACCAGGCCATCGGTCTCCTTCCAACAGCATCTTGTCAATGCACTGTGTTGACTTGGGTTACGGTGACCAGCCTTGCTGCATCCTGCACCAGTAGGTGAACTGGGGTATAGCAGAAGGACTTCTGCTGCTGCGGGAAAAACTGCATTGCTTGCTGAGACAGAAAAGGCTGGGCGTTACTCACCTGTGTTTTAATGGGGAGGTTTGATTAACACTGATTAGTATTGACAAGACAGTGAAGTGTCTTCACCTGTGAAGAAAGATTCTTCACATGTAGAGGTTCACAGGCTCACCATGCTTTTGTACTGATACATGTCTGGAGTCCAAGTACTACCTTAGAATGCAGGTTTTGGTGTGGTTGCACTGGTAAGTGACAAGGTGTGACAGTAAAGACAAAGTGTCGTGATGCAGTTCATTCCTTCTCCTCTAAGGAACCAGCTTTAAATACCATTAAACTAAGTAAAAGGTCCAAATGATACAGAAAAGGTTTCCACATGTGTCACCCGCAGACCCTTTTCCTAAACTGTAGAATAACAGCAATAAAAAGAGACAGACTTCCCCACCTCAGGTGAAGCCTATCACAAAACAAGAGAGACTCACAGTCCTGCATGCAATCTTTTCTCTTGTTAGGAGATGCACAGGGGTCAGCAGGGGAGTGAACAGGGCATTTCTGGATGCTGTGTGTCAGTGAGTTTCAGACCTCAGCTGGACTTTAACATCCCTACTGCATCCTCATGGGGTTTCTGTAAGGCAGAACCAGCTCATTATCCCCATCTTACAGCAAAGACACCAGGATCATAAGTGCCTGCATTCTTTGCTCCTGTTCATTCAGGAAATCAGAAGAAAGAGCGAGACTTGTACCCCTGTCATGGAGGCACGACACAGGAGCTTCTGTGGGCTCCAGGGGTGATGTGCCCATGTGTGATGGGCAGCAGGATACCAGCAGCTGGGGGGAATAGGGCACCACTTGGCACACTGCAGCGTTCTCACCCTGTCAGCACAAAGCTGCTGGCTGATCAGCATTTCTGAAGATAAAACCCAAACAACCCAAACCATGAAAATACCCAGCAAAATCCCCCGTACCCGCAGACCCAACAAGCTGTTTATTTGAAGTGCATTTCAGGTACCCAACTTGTTTTATAAAATACATTTAGATTAAAGAGAGCAATTTTGAACATGGAGGCATCAAAGCAGGATGTTGCCCATCAAGATTTGTCAAAGACCTCACATTCAGTTAATTCTGCAGAGCCCAGACATGAAGCTCTATAGAAAGCCCCCTCAAAGGTAGCACATCCAGTAGCGCATCCAGCTTCAGAGTAACCATGGTTGGCAATACATTTCTGACTACCCTGAAATCAAATTGAATTGTACAACTGTTTTCAGTGCAATCAGGATTGAATTCATAATCAGTAAGGCAGCATTCGTGGTTTTGACGGACTTAATGTTCTTGGCATTCCAAGAACAGCGTAACTGGTGAGGGTTCTCGCAGGTCAGAATAATGCAACACCAATTGCATTCCAAAATCAAAAGGACAGTTTAAAGCTGAAAGCAATTTGGTATTTTTAAAACAAATGCACTTACCCCTTGCCTCTGTAGTAAGTCACGACTATAAAATAAATGTGACCCATTCTAGGTGTTCTGTCACCAGCAATTAGAGCAACTATATCGGAGTATGCTTAAAGTTATACCAGGGTATGCGATTACGCACATGAAAACAGAATCAGGGCCAGCTAATGCAGAAATGTGGTGCTAACCATTTATGAATTAAGAATAGGCTGCTGGATTTTCAGACATGTGTGTGCTAAAGGAATCAGTGTGCCGCTGCTCTCTAAACTCCACCTCTGTGCAGAGGGTCCTATGAAATGCTTCTGAAGCGTTTTAAGAATGAGGTTTTGCAGATGTCTTCTACTTATCGGAGAGAGGATTTCATCCCCTCCAAGCAGAGACTTCAGGAGCGATCATCAATGCAAGGGTGATGAAGCTCCCTTTACATTGTCTCTAACCCTCCATCAAGCCAGGAAAGACAAGGTTTGATTTTAAAAGTAAACAGGTCAGACTTTTAGCTCCTTTGAGCCACCGACTGGAGCCTTCTGGCTGTATTTAAGCTTTGCACTAGGTCTGTACATTGGTTTAACACTGAAGTGTGAATGAATCACAGGGAACTGGTAGGCCACCACTTAGAAACAGAAGGAAGGAGTCCTGCCAAACTGGAATAGTTGGCTGCAGGCATGAGCTTCCCCAGTCTCCAGCCCATTCTTTGCTGCAGAACGGCTCTACAAAAGCATCAACATAAATGTGACATCCTTATGGAAAACCACCTCTAGGTGGAAGTATTGACCCTGCAGACAGAGATGAGATCATAAATATCTATGTGGCAGAAGTGATGGCAAGGTTTCTTTAAAACTGCTTCCTCCAATATTTCACTCTTGAAACTGTAATTAGAGGAGGTGCCTTGAGATTTATATACCTGAGGGCAGGTTGCAAAGCTCACCGGAGCCAGGAATTTGTTTCTCTCTTGGCCCAGATCCAGAGACCACGGTTCAAAGACGCGCTTCAAAGGTGCTGGACATTTGCTTTTGGTGAATGTAGCAGTGAAGGGTGCATTCTTGGCTTTAAGCATGTGCTTACCTGCAGTACCCAGGCTCTGTGCTTGCCATCTTGACCGTATTTAATTGACGTTGCTGCCTGAACCTGTGGTTCTTGGTTTATTCAGTGTATTAGAAAGCTTTGATTTTAACCAGACAAAACAAGAACATTGCTGCTACTTCCCTTTCCCTCTTTTGGGAAGCAGTTGTGAACACCTGAGTTCGTATTTGAGTAAGTCATTCAAAGGATTAGTCCTGTACTTTGAGTGCTAGAGACTGTAAGTGATATGTAAGACTAGGTACTGTCCCTATTACAGCCTTGTAGAGTGAAGGTGTGATTCACAAGGGATCAGAAACCAGCCTGCTCAGACTATTATCTGCGCAGATGCTGGAGTAAGATGGACTCTTAGTTCACTTATGCAGATCATCATGAGACCTCCTTCTTTCTCACTGTCTCGTTGTCAGAAATTACAAGAGATTTTTTTTCAGAAGGCACAGAAATGCTGACTTCCACTGAATATCAACACGAGTCGGATGCCCCACCTGCCCTTTGCACTCTGAAAGTAAGCGATAAATCATTATGCTATCGGAAAGGTTTCATTTTCTTTCTTCCCTTTTTTTCTTTCTTCTTTTTGCTGGTTCATACTGGAACCTGCTGAAGGTTTCTATTGGATTAGGCCAATATTCTCATGAACGGTTACGTGATGCAGAAGTAGAGCTGAGCACTTTCTTTTCTGCAGGCAGGTTTTATTTACTATCAAAACCCTTGTTTATTTCAGCTGAACATCTTTCGTGGACCACTTGTCATGCGGGGGAGAGGCTGGAAGAGAGGTGGAACAGTTGCTGGTACACCTTAGAGCTCTGTAGTTGCAGCTTGTACCTGCCTACAGGGACAGTGGTTCCACTTCACTTTCCACCTGAGTGAACTTGCTTGTTTTCCCACCGATCTGATGAATGCCACAAACACTATACTACTGGCTACCTAGAGACACAGCCTTGTTGATAACTTCTGGAAGCTCTGTTCTTTGCTGCCTGCAATATTGCTCTGAATTGGAGAGCAAGGTTAAGCTGAAACAAAGGTACCGGTAGAGTAACTTTGGATCTGAATTCATGGTTTATGCTTAATGCTTTGTATATCTCCCAAGTCTCTGAGAAGGGCTCTGCCCTTTGTGCAGCACCTGGGTGATGTTTCCACCATCACAGTTACTCCTCATTAGTTTCCAGTGAGGAAGTGTTTAGTTTTCTCACCATTGCCATGAGGCCATGCCTTAATCCAGGTTTCCTGGATGCATTGAATTGTGTCCTGGAAAGGTGTGTGTGCATGTGAGCAGCCAAGTCAATGAAAAGGTTGATTTCCACCCACACTAGAATGCAACATTAATTAATTCAGGCATAAAGCAGTGTAAATCACTTGTTCTTTGGTGGAAGGTGGCCAAAACAGAAAGAGGGGGAAAGCTAACCCAGCAAGCAGAGGCTGTCAGAGACTGGCCAGCTCTCCAAAGAGAGACAGGAGGATATATTATAATACATATCTGTAAAGGAGGATATATTATATCTCTATGTATTTTATATCTTTATACCTGTATCTATCCTTATATATTTATACACAGGTAAATTTGTCTCTTTTCTATGCATCTCTCTATACAGATTTA